ACCTCCTGTGAGTAGAAGCGATTTCACGCCCAGCCTTCTGCTGTTATTTTGGCTGCATTGTTTTACCCCACTCTGACCACTGAGCACCCACAGCACCACCTGAACCAACAGCCAGTAACCTGGTTTCATCCCAAATCTAAAAATGAACATGTGATGTTCCCACAGCCTCCTCAAAACAATACCAACATGTAAAAAAATGAATGCATGATATATTTAAACTTTCTGCTTGTTCTGCTAAAGTAAAGTTTTAGCTTTAAGGGGATTTTACTCCATCAGTTTAATATGACAGAAGCAGAAAAATCAGTGTTTTTATTCCTTGTCAAAGCTTAAGCTTAATGACAGATTTTAAATATGTAATGTTAAACACAGTAAACCTTACACTCTCACATTTTTTTTGAAATTTTATAACATGTTTAAGTACAAACCAGCACTTTCAGACAAATACTTTGTGCACTTTTTTCCAAGGACTTGTGTAAAATTAGCCGACTGCACTTTAAATAGGAAAATGCCCACAAAGACAAACCTGCATCAACATCAAGATGTTTCGTTTTCTATGAGTGATGCTGAGCAAAGCACCAGAGATGATGTTTTCAGTTGCTTTGACTAGAAGCTGACATTTAGACATTTATGGGAAATCGTTTTTAATTTCTTCCTCTCGCTCTTCTCTCAGGGTGTTCGAGGAAACGATGGACCCCACGGTCCCAAAGGAAGCTTGGTCAGTTTCCATGTTATCCTGTTATCATGTGTATTTGAACATTTAAGATCAGAACTCATAATGTTAACACAAAACTTTTCTTTTAGCTAGTTTCTGACAGATTCTCTCCTCCTCCTCTTTCCTTCACTTTGCCCTGCGCTGATCGTTATTCTCTCCTCTTCTGTTTCTGTCTCTCAGGGTCCCCAAGGTGAGCCAGGACCTCCAGGTCAGCAGGGAACCCCAGGAACTCAGGTGAGAGAGAACACCTGGTCATTATCACGTTCCTGATACGTGATAATGTATGGGAATAGCTATGCAGGAACATGTACACAAATATAAAAAGAAAGATTAACGCTCAAATTGTAATAATTACATAAACTGATTAAAGGTCACACGTGTGTTTTGGGGTTTTTTGCAGGGAATGCCGGGACCTCAGGGGGCCATCGGACCCCCAGGAGAGAAAGTAAGACCTTAGATATTCATCATACTCTATTTAAAGTACAGTTACATAATGAAAGTTGGCTCTAAACAAGTATTTAACAATAAACAGTCATATAATAGTTGGAATATTATTAACTCATTACATTATTCAACTCTATTCTCCAACTCTGACATTTAAATACTGCAGTGAAGAAAGTAAACAAAGGGAGTCGGATGTGCTGTTGTCTAAACAACTGTTTATGTCATGTGACAGGAAGAGATCTTTAAACACCTGTTACAGCAGGAGTCTATTGGATGCTTAAGAATTATAGTAGCCAATCAAATTCAAACATCTCACAAAGGTGAAAATATGATGGTTATTGTCAGAGATGATGATCTTATGCTATCCCACTTAAAAATGAATCTTCTAAATTAAGTTTGATATCAAGTGCAGGGTTTACCTCATGCACGCGCAATACAGCTGCCTCCATGAAGACTGCAGTCACTCTCATATAACCCGACAACCACTTACAGCTCGGTGACCCACAGACACTGCAGCTGTGACAGTGACAGCATGAATATCTCTGAAACTAAAGTTAAATTATGCATCCTTACCTCATTCACATCAACACTTTCCCCACCGAGCAGTGGTATCAACACTCTGAGTCTTATAGAATAACACTTGTGCTCTGTATCAGTGCACTTTTCTCTCACTCACACTTGAACCATGTGAGTCTGTCGTACTCGTCAGCGACGAAGCAGAAAATTGACCTTCATTCAGATATGAGGCGTTTCAAATAAGGAGCATTTATTGACCTTATATACACTTTGTCTCCTTCTCCAGGGTCCCACAGGAAAACCAGGTCTCCCAGGAATGCCTGGAGCTGATGGGCCTCCTGTATGTTTGTCTTTCTTTATATTGTTTATTAAGTTAAACCACCTAAAGCTAGGTGATGTTGTTTCTAAGCCTTAAACTCTCTGTTTTCATGTTACAGGGTCACCCAGGAAAGGAGGGGCCTCCTGGCACCAAGGGAAACCATGTGGGTGCCATAACTCCATCACTTTATATTACTTCATTCATATTACTATTGTTATCCATGCTAACAGGAGACCTGTAACCTCTGTTAGCTTTGTCCTTGTGGTCGTAGTTACCACAGTGTGTGTGTTGTGCTGTAAACCTGCTTTCTTTGGTCTGCAGGGTCCTAACGGTCCTCAGGGAGCTATCGGCTATCCTGGTCCTCGGGGCGTCAAGGTCACTGCGCTTCATTTTTAATGTGTCGTAAAAGAAATTAGCAAAGACATTTTTTAAATGCGATTTATTAGAATGCAAATGTATTGATTATGAAATTGTTGTGATCACAGGGAGAACAAGGCATCCGCGGCCTGAAAGGCCACAAAGGAGAAAAGGTAAATAAATAAATATCACATTTACATAATAAGATCGTGTTAATGTGAACATTTGGTGATTAAAAAAGGGAAACGGAGATATCATGTGACTGCATTTTATAATTAAAAACAAGGTTGGTGTCATGAACATCTATTCACTGTGTTTTTATTTGTTTTTGTTGCCAGGGAGAAGACGGCTTCCCGGGAATTAAAGGAGATTTCGGTGTCAAGGGAGAGAGGGTAAAGTCTGACTAATGAAGCAGCTGATTGGTCAGTTGGCTGCTTCTTTAATGTAACACTAGATGGCTGAACGAAGGACTGGATGGTCCAATATTTTTAATCTAACCCATGTTAATATTTGCTTTGAGTTATTGCTTTGTGTACAGCACAGATTTAATCTCACAGCTGTGTTTCCACTCTGATCTCTCACAGGGAGAGATTGGAGTATCAGGGCCCAGAGGAGAGGACGGCCCGGAGGGGCCAAAGGGTCGTGTTGGACCCCCCGGTGAGCTTGGAGCTATTGGACTGATTGGTGAGAAGGTATGAACTGTTTAATTACAGCAAGACTGCATAAAAGTAATTATTTTTTATTATTCATCATCATTTAATACTTTTATAACCAACTTGTGTAAGAATTATATTTTACCTGTACCTGGGATCTGAAACAAGTATTTATTTGAATTTTTGTTTTATGTTTTATTGATGTGAATTTCTCCATTAAACCTGACATTTAACTTTATAACATGAACTTTATTACAAGATAATGTAACCGTTACACCTGTGCATCATGTTAAGTGCTTCTCAGCTTTCTCACCTACATGCCAGCATTAATCAGTCATAACTAGCTGGTTTGTAGTGAAGCAGGTTAGATTAATGACGTCATCGTTTGTTTCCAGGGTAAACTCGGTGTACCTGGAGTTCCTGGATATCCTGGAAGACAAGGACCAAAGGTAAGAGAAGCACAAGACTTTCATTAGCACTGAATCAGTGGTTGATCCTGATGGAACAGCTGATCCTGACATGTTGGTTTATTTTTAGGGATCTCTTGGATTCCCAGGATTCCCTGGTTCAAACGGCGAGAAGGGAACAAGGGTAAGACGACGTCTCTGTGGAGGAATTAACATCAAAACTTAACAAGGATAAAATTTCTCAGGTTATAACAAAAGTTCTAATGTTAACAGTGTGTCTGATTCTCTTCAGGGTACTTCCGGCAAACCAGGTCCGAGAGGACAGAGAGGCCCGACGGTACTTTTTCTGTTTCTTATGCTCAGGGTTTAGAAGCTGCTCTGCTCACAGCGTTAAAGAATAACCTATCAGTACATCAGCCATCATCAGTGTAACCTCTGGTGATCAGCAGAAACACAGAGCTGTTTAATTGTTGCTTCATATGATTTGAGTGTGTCGTAGTAACTTAACTATACGTGCCGTTTTTGACCATCAGGGCCCCCGAGGGCAGAGAGGGCCGAGGGGCGCCACGGGGAAACTAGGAGCAAAGGTTTGTCTGCACACCTGAAACAAACTG